ATGTCCAACGGCGTGCGGCTGCGGCGCATGACACGGAAGGATGTCGGAGGGAGTGTCCTGCCGTGGGAAGCAGCCGGACCTGGGCGTTGTTGGCACGTGGAGTGCGATCATGCGACGGGGACGGCTTCGTTTGTCCTCCAGCGGAAGCACTTTCTCGATCTCGACTTGGATAGCGACGGCTTTATGGACTGCAAACCCAAGGACACTCATGGGGCTCCCAAGCGCAGGCGATACGACTTCAGGTTCAAAGCCCACGCAGTCAACCAGCTGCGCATCTTCCAGGACAACGCCGAAGACCTCTGGAAGGAGGAGCAGCTCACGCCTCTTCAGTTCTTGGAGGATCGTCTCAAGATTCCCTACAGCAATACAGTGAAGTGGGCCAAGAACGAGAAGGAATTTCTTGCGGCGGCAGCCGATGACCTAAAGAAGAGCCTCCTCGCCAAACAGCAGCCTAAGCGGTGATTTCCTGAGGCAGAGAAGCGACTGTACAAGGGGTTCGTGGAGCGGCGGAAGAGAAAGCTGAAGGTGTCGACCCTGTGGCTGACGATCAAGTTCCGGAAGCTCGTGCGAGAGATGTACCCCGGGGATCAAAGAGCGGCGTCCTTCCGCGCATCCTTCAGGTGGGCGCGAAAATGGGCCAAGAGGCATAACCTGTCCAAAAGACGCCGGCTTCCAAAGATCCGCGCTTCCACCGGCTGTTTCGCAAGCTCCTGCAAGAGCCGGTGCGGTGCAGGGCGCCCGATGAGTCCGACGTGTCGGCAGTCACGACGGTCGCGGAGAGAGAGTCCAGGGTTCCCAAATACGGTCAATTCCAGCTCTGGGAGCGTTGGAATGTGGATCAAGTGTCTTTGGCATTCGTGAACGGGCTGCTCGACACGTGGGACAAGAGAGGTGCGTTGCGGGTAGCAATCTCGCAGCTCTTTGCTGGCCTAGAGAAAAGGCAGTGCAAGATGCAAGTCATCTTTGGTCCGGGTGAGAAGACCATGCGCATTTCGGTGATTTCCGAGGCACGGGAAAGCGGATCTCGCCGGTGGAGAAGGCAGCGCATCACGAGGACGTGGACGTGCTTTTCCAGGAAAACGCGTGGGCCGACCAGAAGTTCTGCATGGAGTGGGCGAAGAGGTCCTACCGCGAAGGCCTGATGCGCGGGCGGGGTGAGCTCCCCAAGGTGAGGTCCATTCTTATCATGGACAACTTGCACGCGCAGACCACGGACGAGTTCAAGGAGTATCTTGCGAGGCACTGCAACACTCTCGCCTGGTATGGCCCTTCGGAGTGCACGGACGAGGTGCAGCCAGTTGATGCAGGAGCCGGACGATTTATCAAGGTGGAAGTCGGGAGGCAGATGGACATATGGTTCGAGCAGTCGGACAACCTCGAGAGGTGGGAAACCGCGTCGCTGACAGCTTCTGATCGGCGCGTCCTGATCACTCCGTGGATGGGAGCGGCCATGGCAAGACTCAACAGCCAACAGGCGTACCGATACCGTCTTTTCGAAAAGTGCGGGATGGTTATGACCGTGGACGGCTGGGGCGATGATCGAATCACCTTGGAGGGTTTGGACAAGCCGTATACCTTCGCTAACGATGAAGACAGTAGCGACGACGAACAAGGTTCGGAGAACGGCAACGATGAGCCTGAGGGGCGGGCGGAGGAGGGCGATGGAGGACGTGAGACGCTCATGGAGGGCGTTGACTCCAGCGATGAAGACGACGGCGGTAAGTTTGTTTTGCACAAAACCAACTCTTCATCTTCTTTTTGTTGATGACGATGTCCTTCATGTTGACGTTAGCTTGTTTCCGCGCACGGCTACACTCAAATTATGATAAGTTCAGGTTGAGTTTGGCGACGTGACACCCCAACTTCTTGTGTTTCCCGTTGCCTCGTTCGCAGACATCTCTCAACCCCAG